ATATACTATGATTGCACCTGCACATATAAAAAATTTAATTAATGTAGAATTTATAATACAATTAAATTAAATGATTAAGATATGTACGAAATTATTTAATAATCATAGGGTTTAAGTATACAAAAAGATGCCTAATTTATGTTTTTTTAGTTTAGTTAACATTTCTTATTTTAATTGCATTTCTCAATTACAACGATAAACGGAAATTATTAGGACCCCTTACAAATTTTTCAGATTATCCAGAAGGAATGGGAAGATAGTGGAGGGGAAGAGAGGGAAATTGATTTAGGGTTAAGGGTAAAAAGTTAAAAGGTTTAAATTTTCAATTAATCTATTTTAATTAATTTCTTATTTTTAGAAATTATTTTTTAATATTAAAAAAATATGCTAGGTGACATTTTAAATGGGTTAACAACCAAACATAATGGCCCGTCACGGTTTGATCCATTTTGAGTAACGGAATGAAACGTTAGACACCAAACTGGAACGAAATAAACGTTAGATACTAACTGGAAAAACGAGTATAGATTGGAAACTTTTGTATACTTAAGCCTATTCATAAAATAAAAATATAAGTTGACTTGCATTTAGAAGAAGTAAAATTTTTAAAAAAAGTAGTATCTATTTTTTGTTCTAAATATTATTATAGTTTATTGTTTTTAAGTTTTAAAATAAGTACATCTTGGTCATGTGCAGAGAGAACGAAACACAGTTACTAATGGACTGACAAAAGTGGCGTGGAATCTACCATTTGGACTCCACAAATTTTAGGAGCCGCCTGAAACAGTGGGAGACTTGTTTGCAAATGATCGGTCTGCGGTCGTAATTGACTAATTTAGTCTTCGTTTTTACTTATCAACCACAGTGAATTAAAAGAAAATATTCATTTAATTAATCGAAAATGGGAAAGAAAAAAAAACTAACGGTTAAACAACAATGTATAATAAAAGTGTGATCAATTTTCCCGCATTAGAACTATCATCACATTAATTTCGTGTCTTTATACAAAGAAAATTTTAAAAAAATTAAAAATCCAAGGGCTAAAATCGAACTTTACCATTTTCTTTAAATAGATACAATAACGGAGAGGAGCCGGCGGGAGCCAGAATCACTGTGTAACCTTCTATTTTTTCCTTTATAATTTTGGAGCAAATATAATATACTATCTGTTCAATGACTCTCAATCAGTTGATAATAATCGTTCATATTCTTAATATACAAGATGCTCGAACTTGAAACCTCATAGAATAATAATAATCTCTTAATCACTGAAATTAATTAATTCGTGCATCTTCTATTTTTCTTTAAAAAAAATTAATTGTACATAAAGTCAATGCATTGGTAAGTTATATGGGTCAATAATTTTAATGGAGTATAAGATATAACGTATAGTATTATCTATAAATTATATTGTAATGTAAGTCAGAGTAATCCTTTGGAAGAATGGAAAAAGGTTGAAGCTTCGACGTTTAACAATTAAGCATCAAACAAATTGTATCCATATATTGATAATAAATCATAATCGAAGAAACCGAGGATTCACCTGGAAGGTCGATTGAGTTCGAGTGTGGGATTTATCTTATATTATTCTTAATATATTGATTTCGTTGACAATTTCTCATTGACATCCGCTGGGAACAAATGATAATCTCAAAGCTGATTATTCTCTGCCGCTCATTAGACGTTTAAATAACTTGGCACATCTTCTTCTATGATTATAACCGAGGCCTGAGGAAATAAAAAAAGATCTTATCCATGGAGAAACAAGCAACAAGCAAGGTCTGCTGCGTCACTGGAGGTTCTGGATATTTAGGTTCTTGGCTCGTTAAGAAGCTCCTCGAAAAAGGCTACACTGTCCATGCAACGCTACGAAACTTGGGTTCTCTCTTTCATCTCTATATATTCACGTGTCCTTTTCTTCTCCTACAGTTAATGAAATTTCTGATGATAGTTTGGATTGCAGATGATAAATCCAAAGTTGGGTTTCTAAACTCCCTGCCTGGTGCAGCCACCAAACTGGTTTTATTCCAAGCTGATATATACAATCCCGATGAGTTTAAACATGCAATCCAAGGGTGTGAGTTTGTGTTTCATGTGGCTACTCCCATGCAAACGACAGATACTCAAAGCTCACAGGTTTATTGATTCGTCTTTCTCCTTTTTCATCAAGTTAGCTAGCTCTAGCTGAGCTACAGATAGATAGATAACCGTTGAATATTAGTATTACGTAAGCAGGAAATCATCGAAGCAGCGATTTCAGGTGTGAGAAGCATCGCCGAGTCATGCCTACAATCGCCGGCCGTAAAACGACTCATCTACACGGCTTCGGTTCTAGGAGCATCGCCATTAACGAAAGATGGGTTCAACATCAACTCTTGCGTAAACGAATCGTCTTGGACTCATGTTGATGTTGCATCCACCCATGGCCTTCAGTATCTGCGGGTCGGTAAAATTTTCTGTTTACTTTTCCACTAAACATCACGCTAATTCTCAGGTTAAAAGTTAAATAAAATTTTAAATTTCCTGTGATGTGTTAGACATATACCATATCTAAAACCTTAGCGGAGAAAGAGGCGTTGAGGTATAACGGCGAAGCTAACGCTAATGGCGGCAAGCTAGAAGTCGTGAGTCTTGCTTGTGGGCTTGTTGGAGGAGAGACTCTTCTTTCTTTCGTGCCATTAAGCATGGCTGTCATGTTTTCGCAGCTTATCGGGAACTTATCCACTTTCGTGGCGTTAGAATATTTGGAACAACTTCTGGGATCGGTCCCTATTGTTCACATTGACGACGTTTGTGAAGCTCATGTGTTCTGCATGGAGAAACCCTCCATGGATGGCCGGTTCATTTGCGCCGCTGCTAATCCGACCATCACACAAATCGCAGCTCATTTTCGAGACAATTATTCACAGCACCAGATACCACAAGAGTAAGTAATCTCTATAATATTATTACGTATGTTATTATATTGATTGAATTTGAACGGATGTAATTACAGGCTGATGGGGGTGGAAAGGAAGGCATTGCATGGGACAAGAGCAAGTTGGTGAAGATGGGTTTCGAGTACAAATACAACATGAAGAACATATTGGACGACAGTGTCAAATGTGGAAGGCGACTTGCAGCGGTCCTCTCTCTCAATTAGTGATTGTTGCTTTAGAAGCTCATAAATAGTAAACTATGTCAAGTAATAATGTGAAAATTTCTAAAATTTCAGTCTCACAGTTGTAATCACTGGCAAATAATATGCTGCCGATCTTAAAACTGAAGATTATCAAATAAATGAATAATGTTAGAGATAATCATATAATTAAGGATTCCTAAATTATCAACACTTAGCCTACACAAGATCCCATCAGTCTCAAAGTAATGTAAACCTGATCCACAGATAATAGACATGTTGGACATATAATCAGCTGCTACACTTGCTACTCGAAATACATCGCACATGCTTTATCGTTCCATGCTCGTTTGCAAAGATCTTTGGTGTTCCTGACTAAAGCAATTGGGCTGTCAACCTCTGGTGTTCAGCAAGTGGGTCATTCCTTAAAACCTGCATTGATGCACTGGACACACAACTCGTGTGTAATTTAAGTCCTTTTCGAAATATTGTAATATACACTGTTGGTGCAAATCTGTGCTTGTCAAAAGCTCTTCACCACCTACAACAGTATTTTGACAGATTCGAAAATACTTCTCCGGATATTCTGTATTCTCCACTGTGGTCTTTCTGTGTATCAAAGCCTTCAAAGATAGAGGTATCTAGGGGAACTACTCTGTTGATCAGAGTTTCCGAAGATCCATAAGCTTTGAACTTTTGACTTGATTTCTGATAGGTCCACATGATGTCTTAGGGGCTGAATCTATTATGAGACAACTATATCATTTAGCCGGACAAACCTACGAGTAACCGTCATGACTCACATCAACAATCAATATATAAACCCTCATACAAGATTGAAAAGGAAAAAACCTCTCTTCCGGAGCTCTTATCGTTCATCATATTCCATAAACCATCAACTGTAACTCTCTACCTAAACCAGGGGGCGTATATAGGCTTAGGCCTACTTAGACCAAGGATAAAATACTTATTTAGCCATCCACTTATTATTACATTTTGGTTCTAATTCGTTTTTAAAAAAAAATAATGTTGACGTATCATCATAAGATAATGTCATGTTAAGATTGAAAAATAATTAAAAAGATCACGTTAACATCATTGTTAATTTTTTCTAGATTTAATCCATATATAATTGTTATTACATTTTTAAATAAAATATATATAATTTTTTAGATAAAATTTTTATTATATTATATTGGTTCAATCTATAGAAATTTTTTGGATTCGCCACCGACTTTAATCGTACCATTGATTATAACTTTTCACTCGGATCATAAAAAAATAATCTCTCTATAATATTGAAAGATTCTGATTAAGATTAAAGCATCGGTTGTACTTATTGGTTGATAGTGAATTATTCATTTATCTTGACTATGCAGTTGTTGGATCTTTAAATCTGATTTACGTTAATAATTTACTATGTTTTCTTGTGTATATATTTGTTTATTTACCAGTAGGCAGTGCCTGTTAAAAAAATAATTTTATTTTCAAGGGAAGGTACCAGCTAGAAAGGAAAATAGTAGAAAAATAAACGAATATAAAATCATAATAATTTCTCCACTCAATAATGAATAATCCTTCCTCTATCAAAAGAGTGACCCAAATTTTACAATGATATACAGGAATATATTCACAAACGTGAAGATATAATTAAATATATACAACACAACCAAAAGAAATATTCACTAATAAATTTGAAAATATTATTAAATAAAAATATTCATCTAATTGAGAAGGAGATTCTTTTCAGAGGAAAATGCATGGATGCCCACTAAGAAATAAAATAAATAAATAAAGAGTAATCCACTATGAATGAGAATCCCATCCACCATGCCTATAATATATACTTAGTTCCACACAAGTTGGTCATCAAGCATATTAGAGTAAGAGACTTCGTCGGAGTTCGAGAGGTATTGCAGCAATGGCTTCTTTGCAGTGCCACAAAACCGCCGAGAAAGGGATGGGTCAAGGATATTATGGCGGCGGTTCCAGTTGGGGATCACAGTCGAACCAGTACCAGAATGGCTATTCAATGTCTTACAGCGAACACGAACGCCATGCCCAAATCCGCTGCCCCACCTATGGGATGAGCGAATCCCACACTGCTTACGAATATGGAAAATCTCATGGCACCCACAAGCACCAAAACGGGAATGCAATGTCGAAACCTCAAATCCATGGTCATGGGAATGGCTACATGAATGCTCCGAGTCAAGGACATGGCTATAACCATCAGTCCGGCCCTGGAAAGAACCACGGCCCTGGCTATGGCTATGGCTATGGGCATAACGGAACCAACGGCCATGGAATGCCGCACAGCCCACCGCACCACGGGCACGGAGGCAAACTGTCAGGCCACGGAAATGGGTACATGAAGCCCCAAGCATATGGCCACGGCGGAAACATGGACTACGGAATGACCGAAACCGAAACTCGCGAGTATCGTAGCGAAGTGTACTATTCCAACGGGTCGCACTGCAACAGCGGAGGCCGTGGACGCCTTGCCGAGAAAGGCACCCAGGCGGTTAAGGGTCTGGTGGGAAAGATAAAGAATGGCCTTTCAGGTAAGATCAGGGGCAGTGACAGCGAAAGCGACAGTGATGACGATGGTCGCCGGAGGAGGACGGTAACGGTCTTACTTTCCTTGAACATAAAAACGAATTTTATTAACCTACATTGTTCATCAGCTGATCAGGTTTTCTGTGTTAATGATTATTTTATTTTATTTTTCTATTTGGTTTGGTATACAGGTCTGCGTAAGCAAGGCGTTATGATGGAACTCTAAGCACATGATAATACCAAACATGGTGAAGATGTTGGCAATATAAAAGCCAGACAATATAAAATAAAATCGCCATGGGAAGAAATGAACAAAAGAATAATTAAAGATCTGTGTCTTGATGTTTCAATATGTAATTTACATGTAACAAAAAATAAGTAATGCAATGTGATATTAGTAAATGATATAACTTTGAAAATCCTATATCGTGGATGAGCACCATTAATGATCAACACCATTCAATTAATTTATTAAACATTAAATTATAAAGTAATAAATATATAATAAAAATTAATTAAAAATCTAAATATAATTTAATTAAAATACAATATTTATAAAATATTAGTTTTTAGGATAAACTATATCGTTGACCATCTAACTATTTACCCCTTTTATTTTAACCACCGATTTTTCAATTTTGTTAATCGGGTCGCCTAACTATTTAAATCTTGTTCATCAAGCCACATGCCGTTAAATATTAACGGAGATTACGTGATAGTTAATAAAATTTGTATGATTACACATCTAATCCTCATTACTTACACATATTCTATTAATTTGGTCATAATTTTAATTAATTCAATAAATTTAATCAATAATTGTTGGTGGGGTTTAAACCCAAGACGTGAAGAGAAGAAGCAAATGCCCCATCCATTGGGCTACACTATTCAAATGACAAACCTATCACGACATAATATATATAGTTAATGGCAAAGAAAAAGGGAATATGACCTAATAAGAACTCCAACATGAATAATTGAATAATACGATAATACGATATATATACACAAATATTATAACCGATTAATAAGAATGTATTTTATTTATATTTTAAATCATTTTAATGAAAAAATAAAAATAATTTTAATATTATAATTAAAATATAACGAAGAGTTTAGCTGAGTTAGAATTTTCCTAATAATTGAGGGTTTATCGTAGTAAACATTTTAATTTATGCGTTGACTTGTTTATATCCCGGTTAGAGTAAGAATTTTTATTTTATTATTCATTCATTATATATTTGAAGAAAATTTTAGGGAAACTTGATTTTATTGAATTAATCTATTTTAATATAGAGTTATTAAATAATATTAGAATCTGATCGACATTATAATACTTTTAAATATAAGATATGATACATTTCATTACAATAAAATTAGAATAATGAAGAATATTTATTAATTTAAAATATGTAAAATGATACATTTCAATTATAACATATTAAATTCACTTTTATTATAATTTTTACATTAAATGTGATTTAACATATAAATAAAATATATTCATTTATTAATCAATTATAATATTTTTATATATTTTATATTTTCATACTATTCAATTATTTCATGTTTGAGTTCTTATAAAGTAATTTATTACCATTAATTTTATTATAAATTATAAAGATTATGTTCTGTATACTAGTCAAATTAGTGGGCTTAGAAGTTAGGGTGCTTAGATTTTCGGCTTGCTTCTCAGGTTCAAACCCCACTACCAGCGGTTGACACATGTCATCATCAGATTGATAATTAAATTTATTGAATTAAATAAAAGTTAGGTTAAAACTGAATTAATCGATCGAACCAAAATTCAGGTTCGGTTAATTCAGTTCGAAATTGGTTAATTAACCAAAATTATTAAATATTTAATATATATAATATTTAGCTTTAGGGGTGTTTGAACTCGATTTTTACAAATTTAACTGATCAAATTAATCGAAAAAACCAAAAACAAAAAAATATTTAATATATAATATATATTATTTATAAATTTCGGTTAATTCTGTTAACCAATCAATTCACCGAACTTAGTTCGATTCGGTCAATTTTTTTTAAAAATTCAGTTCAATTAACGGTTAATGAAGAGAAAATTCGATTAATAAAATTTGGGTAATTCGATTCGGTCTATTAATCGAATTACCCCCTTTTGAACACCCCTATCCACAGCTATTTACAGATTTTTCAACATGTAATGTTTGAAACTGGGCGACCGTGTTCGGACAGAAGTTCATAGTCAAAAACATTATTTTGTGGTATGCGACTGTTTCAAACATTCCTCTTTCTTCAATCTTAAAAGGCTAACACCAGGTGTTCGGTCAACCCCATTGCCCGCTTCCGCCATTACCTCCTCTCACTCCCTCGTCCCCCACCTCCTCATATAATAACCCTAATTTCTTTAAGTTAAAGTCGCTAACCAAAATGGCTCCACTCGTTTTTTTGTTCACTTTTACTTTTCTATTCTTGACCGTCACAGACGCCCGCTTTATTCTACCGGAACAGACCGTCAGCCAGGAAGAAACTATAACCCATTTACCCGTACTTGGCCATACAATCACGAACGTCATCGATCTTCCTAGCGAGAAACCCGACTCTGAACCCGTCAAAACAGTTGATATTAAGCTCTATGAAACCTTGGGAGCCGACTCCGACTTGGATTCTTTTCCGTTGACAATGACCAGTTTCCGTCCAGTAAACGGTCACTTCCCCAGACATCCTTTGGTTCCGTTCAGTCATAAACACTACTGCCATTTTCACAAAAAGTTCAGGCCTTCGAACCCGCGGCTCCAGCTTAAGCGCTATATTTCTTATGGAAACGATATGGTACTGCCTTATTGGAAGGCGGGTGAAGATGATGAAAGAATTAAAGAAGTAATGCTTGACTTGATTACAAAGCAATAAAGTTGTTTTATACATAGTTCAACAGCTCATAACTGCACTAACCAATTCTAACAGATTAACAGCTTCCTAACTCCCACTTAACAACCTATGCCAATGTGGCATGGCATGCAACACATGCTCGCTTACTCAGCTAATATTCTCCATGCTTCTTCACACCTTCAGAATTGATGAACACATATTTTTGCACAAAATTATTCTAATGCAGTCCTGACCAACGGCTTAGTAAATCCATCAGCTATTTGATGCATGGCTGGTACGTAACTGACACACAGTTGATCAGCAGCTTCTCGCGTACAAAGTGGACATCTAGATCAACATGCTTGGATTGAGCATGATATACTGGATTCGCACTCATGGCCACAGCACTGGTGTTGTCATACCAGACAACAGGCTTATGATCATGTTGAATACCAAGGTCTGTCAGGAGTACTTGAATCCATGTTATATATGCGGCTGTATCTGCGACACTCTTGTATTCGGCCTCCATTGTGGATCGAGAGACCTTTCGCTGTTTCTTTGAACACCAAGTGACAAGACACTTGCCAAGGAATACCCCATATTCGATGATAGATCGCCTATCATCGATGTTGGCCCCCCAGTTTGCATCAGCAAACGCAGCTATGTCTGATCCATGAGCAGCTGGTGTAAATAAATGAAGCATTGTATTCCAAACAGTTGTTGTCGTTTTAGTGCCAACAAATTGAGGAAGAAGGTGAGGGCTGATCGTGGACAGTAACCACGATGCAAGGGCACTATCTTGAGCCACAAAGTCTTCATATTCATCATTAACACGAACCGTGACATCGTCATCAACCACTGTCTCCGGTGGAGTCACTGTCGCACCTGTGAGTAACCGCTCTAACCGATAGCTTCTAATTGTGAGCAAAATCTGCTGCGTCCAAATAAGGAAATTCATCTCGTCGAGCACCACATTTAATTTCTTGTGAGTAAATGCCTTTAAATTCGTTGTAAACTCCATCAAGAATTGCTCACGCAGCGGAGATTAATCATAGAGCCCCAAGATCAATGGCGATTGATACCTTATTGGAAAGAGGGTGAAGATGATGAAAGAATTAAAGAAGTAATGCCCGACTTGATTACAAAGGAATAGAGTTGTTTTATACACAGTTCAACAGCTCATAACTGCACTAACCAATTAACCAAATCTAACAGATTAACAGCTTCCTAACTCCCACTTAACAGCCTATGCCAACGTGGCATGGCATGCAACACATGCTCGCTTACTCTGCTAATATGCCTGACCAGAGAACTGGTTTTAACAATGATCAGTCACATGACATTGGTCACCGGATCCAAGCAAGACGGGCCAGGTTTCCTGACAACGTCGCCGCCGTGTCGAAGGAGCACGTAGAGTACTTTAGAAAGCCTCGTCACTATAACCACGAACACGAACAAGATCAGGATGGCGAACACCAACATCGCCTAGGAGAGGAAGATGAAAGGCCCGAGAGTAAAGAGCACAATGGAGGGTTCGTGAAGAGGTTTCACAAGTTTTTTTTATTAAGTTTTGAAGGTATCATGCACATTATTTAATCAAAGTGATGCCATCTAATCTTATTTTCTAGCCTGGCTGTGTTTAAACTAGTTGATTGTCGGTTGTAAATAACATGGCATTCTTTGGTGATCAATAATATGGTATTTTGTAACACAGCTCTTTTTTCTAGATTTATATGAAAATTAAAGAATAACAGACTAATTTTAAAATTAATATAAAAGTTTCGATTTATCGTGTAATATTATATATCATTTTGATTTGAAATAATTATATATTTAATTTTTTTTAATTTTTTTACATATTATAAATACCAAATAAAGAGTGACATAAAGGATAATCCCAGGGCTGATAGGGACAGTTATAATTTAAATATTTTTATTGATAATTTATTTTCACTTTTTGCAAAATTTTATAAGTTAGTCCTAACATAAAATTTTATTGATAGGGGTCGAGGATCGAGTTATTACCAACACAACACACCTAAAGATAACGTCTTGGTAAAAATATGCATAAAGATAAGGAATAGAATTTGACTCAAACCGAAGGTAGCCTGAATTATCTACTCGGGTTCTAATAATATGAGTTCGTCACCTTAATGCTCTGCTAAGAGGGACCCTGATTATTCATATTCTTTCAATCGGCTCAGTGTGATCCTGAACAGCCAAACGCTCTGAAACATCAGCCAATGACTTGAGGTTGCACTTGATCAGTGGCTCCACAAAGTCGCTTGTTTCATCCTTGGTGTTCCCCTCTGGTACATCCACCACAAAAGACTCAATCACCAACGTTCTTGGTCTGCCATTAATGACCTCAAGATGGACTGTAACAATGGATGAGTAGTTCTGCAGTTTCATCAAATTAGATCATAACCAAAGTACAGGATTGCAACAACAACAACAAAACCCTATTCCCAATATGCAATGAGGTAGGGTAGTAG